TGGACGTGTGGACGCATGAACAGACGCACGCATGGCCGTGCGGAAGGACGCACGGACGGTCATACAGACGGGCGCATGGACGGACGGAAGCAAGAACGAATGGACGGACGGCTGCTTCGCCCCACTCTTCATCCTTCACCCCGTGGATATGCTGCCATTTATTTTTGTTGTGCTTGTGCTTTGATGTACGTGCGTATGTACAAGCAATAAAGCAAAACAAAAACGTCCGTTTGGAGCGCTGCATGAGAACTCAAATTAGCCGCAGGGGCCTATAGAAGTGACCTTTTTCACATTACTCTATGCCACTACTACTACAGGAGAGAGAATAAACCATGGCGTAAGGAGCTGGATCCCTAAAAAGAGTAACAATTTGGAGTACTTCGTACTCAACAGTGGCAGAGTGGTCAACCGTTCCGATTCAAGGACAAGGCTGGTGTGCTTCGGATAAAGTGGAGAACTATTTAGAGTACTTGGTACTCTACTATGGGAGAGCACTAAGCCGTCCCGTGGGCCCCACACAGCGTTTAGAAGAATTTCATTTCCGGATATATCTTACATAGCTTATGAGCACACAGAAAAATGGACAATGGTGATCAATGCGTATGTACAATGCAAGCTGTTACACACAGCGAAAGAACTTATAGTGTATGCAGTGACCTACAATGCATAAATGGGGGGGGGGAATTAGAAAAAGGGGGTAACAATTTAGAGTACAGGGTACTCTACTATGAGAGAGCTTAAAGCCATGGTACAACGAAGACAAGTGAGGAATATATGTGGCTAGCATTCTAACGTCTCAGCCCTCCTAGTCCTACGTTTGGTGATCGCGAATGGTGCAAGTGAGCGACTATGCCTTTTGATAAATATTTTGAATCAGCCTTTGTATTTGGACAGTGTATAATTATATAAGGAGCTGAAGGTAACGTAGCGTAAGTCTTTTAATGAAATCATGATAAAAAGATTTGTTATGTTTGTTTCGCGCATATAACGCGTCAATATGGTCAATCTAATATTAATACGTGCATGTGGTGGGTATCTAGCTGTTGCATGGCTAGTTTTATGATTACTAGGCGTGGCAAATGATTCCGGCTGGAGAAAGACGAGGACGAACTCGCGTTGCTCGATCAGAGCTGTTTGGTTGTTGGCCGCACTCTTACTTGTTCTAATTTAATTGCCGTGACAAACTAGTGGAAAGGCTGTACAATTCCAAGGCGCTAGTTCGAATTCAAGACGCTTCAAGCTTCTGCCAACATTTCAACTATTTCGGACGAAAATCCAGCCAAGGCCACTGAATCAAACACACAAGTGCATTGATTCGAGCGGCCATGACCCAGCACTTCGCCACAGCCGCCGCTTGCTAGGACTACCTCCTAAATTTGGCCTATTGAGCTCGGCAAGCCAGACGCAAGACAGTGACATAGACAAGGTCACATCCACCCCAAGCGTCGTCTACGCAGCACGCATATCAAAGTCGTTTCATGGTGATGTGTTCGAGGACGTGGATGACCACTTCGACCGGGTCGCAGCCACCAACGACTAGAACGAAACCAAAAAACTTCACAACGCCTATTTTGTACTTGAAGGCTACACTCGCACCTGGTATGAGAACCATAAGTTTTAAATAACCAACTGGCAAGAATTTCAGCGACGGCTGCAGCAGGCATTCAGAAATCCCGAAAGGAAAGAGAAAGCCGAGCAGGCTCTGCAGACACGGGTTCAAAAGCCAATGAAAACGTGCCCTGTGTTCGTAGAGGACATGCCACGCTTGTTCAAACGCACTGACTCAGAAATGTGGGAGAGAAAAAAAACGCAGCATATCCACGGAGTGAATGGGGATTAGTGGGGTGGAGCGTCCATCCGTCCATCCCTCCATCCGTGCGTCCATCCGTGAGCCTATCCGCGCGTCCGTCCGTCTGTCAGTCCATCCGTGTGTCCGTTCGTCCATCTGTATGTCTCTCCGTCCATCCATCTAGTGAACACTCCAAGTACCACAATCTCGCATATTTTTATTATATATTGATCATATACAAGTATATCGCCATCCTGCGGACATTCTAAGGACTAAACGAGAGGTGGCTACTACGACTACGACACGTATCATACGACCCACGGCGTAAGGAGCTTCGCCCCTAACAATTCGACTCTTCCTGTGGCGTATCAAGGAGCAACTTTTTGCTGGACTCATGCGCAAGTCCCCAACTACCTTCGATTAGTTCATCTCTGAAGCTACGATACCATTAAACGAGCACTTCAGTAACGCGCTATGCAGTACGACCACCAAGCTTCTGTCGCCACGTTTGTCACCTTTCACCTGTGGACAAGATTTAGCAACACAGCACGAGCTTTTGCAGAGCGTGGTCTCCAAGGAGCTCTTAAAATTTCGCCCCACTTTTACTTACCCGAGTGCGACCATTCTGCGGGACATCAATCACCACGAAATTAGGGATGTGACCCAACCATTCATCTCAATGCGTGCGGAAGCTCCTCTGTTTTACGCCGAAGCATTTTGAGGACCCCTCAACCTTCTACCGGACGCCGGCCGCCCTCCACTTTTCCAGCATCGCCCCGTAAATTCACTCCTGATAATACCTACGAGAACGCTTCCTGTATGATGTTCCGTGCGAAGTCACCCGCAAATCTGACGTATGGCGCGCCTCTGACAACAGGCCACTTTGTTACCACTGCGGCGAAGCGGTCCATCTGTACCGCCAGTGTGCGCATCGCGGGATGTGCACACTGGCTTCCACCCTAACGCGCGTCGACCTAGCAACGGGTAGCGCCCTGGCGATATTCAGCAATACCTGGCAGCACATGAGCGTGACCGGTGTCTTTATGCAGCAATACCTGGCAGCGCAGCAGCCAGGTATTGCTGCATAAGGACACAGGCCACGCTCACCTTCTCCTCGGCACCTCGGCTCGCTTATTCGTTACGCCACGTTTTCTGTTGTTTGAAACAGGTCCCTAAGTCCTGGCCCACGTCAGAAAAACTGAGGCCAGTGACCTCCGGGCCCACTCTTGGCCGAAGTGACAAACATCCTCGGCCACGACACGTTAACGATGCCAATTTCTCTGTCACGAAACTTTCTGATCGCGACGCATCACTTTCCACCGATATTTTTATAACCGTCGACAATCACTCGGCCACCGCACTCGGGGATACCGGCGCTGATTACTCCGTTTTCAGTGATGACTTCGCGGCTGCTCTCCAAAACGTTATGACGCCATGGAACAGTCTGCCGCTCCTTATCACGGGTAGTTATCTTGTGACGCTGGTTGGGAGGTTGATTGATATGTTGGGTTTAGCGTCCTAAAATCGCCATGATTATGAGAGACGCTGTAGTGGAGGGCTCCGGAAATTTTGACTTCCTGGAGTTTCCTTACACCCAAATCTAAGCACATGCACCTAAAGCATTTTTACCTCCATCGAAAAATGCAGCTGCCACAGCCAGGATTTGATCCCGCGACATGCGTGTCAGCAGCCAAGCACCTTAGCCGCTAAACCACCAAAGCGGGGCACCAATAATATTGAGTCTAATGAAGAAAAAAGCCTATAAATTTATGCGTCTTGCTCTCCGTATGAGAGGACAACACAAAAAAATGACTGAGTCGTACAGCATCACATTATGGGAGAATGTACTATATATGATCATTAGCCCAGTTTAAAACGAAGTTCAGCCAAGTCGGAGTTTTCAGCATACGTTAAGATTCCACTACGAGAGACGTTCATGTTAACACAATACATCATTTACTAGCCGTGCCGAAATGCACAACCCTATTATTATGTGGCTGCACACAGAGGCATATGGCATGTTTCAAAATCTGCTTCTAATTGCTACTGTTGCCACCATTGTTGTCATTACTGCTACTCTTGTCTTTTATGGCAGTTCTTTTTTTTTCGTCGTTCCCAGTTGGCTGTTTGACCACTTCGTTTTACATTGGCCTGCCACACTTTTCCAAGTAATCATCGAGTGAATTCCTTACAGGAGTTGCCTCACAAATAGACTGGTGCAAAGATTTCTAGAATCTATCAAGTACAAGTTGAGTTGCAGCGACTTGAGGCAAGGTCTAAGCAATCTCTTTCCTACCGTACCAGCGAAGCCGCTTAAGGTTGCACAGTAGGTGACGACAAGGGAGCAAGCTACGTTCGTTCGACAGCGCACGTTATGACCTTGAGGAATTTCTTCTAGTTTGAACACGCGGCTCACTTTCAGTGCGATCGCACGTTCTCCAGGTGTAATTCTGTACTGAATGCAATTCTAGTACTATTAGTGCAGCAAGAGCACGTCATTCTTATGCCAATGACCATAATCTTAGTGCTTATGACGTGGTCATATTGTATTATGACATCACTTGTTGAGAGCAGAGCGAGCAACTTCTGACTTTGAAGATGAGTGGAAAATTTCACTTCGCGTGCTGCGTTACTCGACTCACGTGTTCTAGGGAGCCTCGACTGCCACCTATAGGCAGCGCCTTCTGATCGGGCTCAAAAAGCGTTAACGGCATCGCTGACGCTTTCAAACTTCGCAACCCACTTCAGTCGGCAATGATATGTGCGTAATATGATGACAACTCATCATTAAAGCAATGTCGCTTGCGACAACATTTTCACAGCAGGACACGTCTTCGTCAGTGTAGTCCGGTGGCTGGCGGTGACATTTTTTTTTCCGGTCGTCAAACCATTAGCTACGGCCGCGGTCATTGTAAAAGAGTTCCCACAGTAGTTCCAACATCCACGTGTGCAGATGTGAATTAAGAGTTATTTATTAAAGAATCAAACAGATTTGACTTGCTTGAGAAAGACGAACTTTTCAAACGTTGTATCTCCGTCGTATTGGTATCATAATGGCCCGCAAGACTTTAGCCATCAGTGCGGGTATCGAACAAAAAATTGCAACGTTTTCTTACTGTATCGCAATTGATCGGCCGGTTGGATAGGAGTAAGGCTTGCCAAGTGAGAGTTTCGAGTGCGTGGAAACCACATGCGCAAAACAACTAAGCGATTGACACAGTCACTTTCACTCTCTTTATTTTTTGCCATTTCTACCGTACAATCCGCTGTAGGCGCAGTGATATTGCACCAACAAGAGCGCCCATGATGAACAGTAGAACAGCTCCGCCTGCAAAACTCGCAATTTTCACAGTTTTTCGCAAACGTATCGTTCTTCGGAAGGACCGATTGATAGCGTCGTTCATATCTGTAGAAAAGAGCAGGTGGCGCCCTTAGCACCGTCGTATTGTCGCCGAGCCAGCTGTATTCTTCAGGCTGGAAAGGGAAGCGCTAGATGCCTTTCCCTCCGGAAATTCGTCTTCGGTGATCCGGAGCGTGTTTGGCACGGACTGTAAATACGATCTCCTCCTGTAAGAAACGAATAGACTTTGGCTTCGATTGTTACGACATCGTCAAGGTGACACGTAGCATAATGAAACTATAGTTATCCATCTGAAAGTACTATAGCCTTTCGGTGAGTCTTTCACGCTAGATGTTAGCGCTCAGCCGCCGTGTTAGCTTGTCGACTGTGGTGCTGTACTGCTGAGTACGAGGGTGCACGCCTCAAGGTCGCGGAGGCAGCAGCTCTACTGGGACGAAGTGAAGAAGTGAAGTTTAATTCAAGCAAAAACGCAGTACAATGAAACAATGCTCCCATCTCTATGAATTTAGGTGCACGGTAAAGAAGACGTGGTAGTGAAATTTACACTGCAATATCCTGCTATAGCATGCCTAATTATCGTGCTGAACAATAATCTTGTCACGCAAAACCGCTGAAGTTACTTTAATGTTAGCTCTTTTGCGCCTTGTTCTCCCTGTGCGTCGGTGTGCTCTATAGTTGCGCCGTGCTGCACTGAACCCCTTCGCGACCACATTAGTGAGTGTCAAAGCAGCAAACATTTAGTTAATTCGACCAACCGCGTACTCTTCCATTTCGACATACTTATCTCCCTAAAGTCACCTCCGTCCCTAAGTAGCTTATTGTGTTATGGCAGTCAGACCTGCTGCAAAAAAACTGTACATTGACGTGTAATTTCAACTGTTTTCAATGCGGTATTATGTTCTTTTTTTGTTGTTGTTGCTTTCGTGCTTTTTCGCTGATTGTTCATTTTGGGCACACCAAGCAATATTAATTTTTTTCGCTGCAGAACGTATTGATATGCAGGAGGTAGAGGAAGGAAAGGCAGGAAGGTCAACCAGGCAATATGGAGTAGCCGAGGTAATACGGATCTCAACCTCGCCCCAGCAAAACAGAACAGAACACGTCAGAACAAACGCGTGGCGCAGCAGTCATTGAACCGCATTTTCTGTGTGTTTTCATTTAATGGAAAATATAGTGTGGCTTAATACTAGCATTCTCACCTTTTTTCCCGGCGAATTGACTTTGACATTCAGTGACCCTTCGTCCACAGCTTTTTGAAGTGATGCCTTCATTTTCTCAAGTGTCGGCTCATCTCTAACGGAAGGGAATCCATCAAGTAATGAAAACTGGATGTACATCTTTCTTTGTTCGTCGAATACCTATAAATGACGTCAGAAAATATACACTTCTACGTCAGAAAATATACACTTCTCTCCAGTTTTTCACGCATTTACAAGCCACACTTTTTGTGTTAGATTTAGACGTCATACTTACAGCGCGCAAGCGTCCGATTCGAAGTGTTCCGAGATTCGATTTCAAGCTGCGCACTATCTCCGATTTGCACATGGCCAGAAAAATTGGCTCGGCGGCGATGCTCACCACGTCTTCATGCTTGGCTTCCGGATCTGAAATAAACCGTGTGAAATTTAAACAATATTTTACAGTGAGGCTGCTAAATAAAAATTCCAAGTTCTTGTTTGCGGATGCAGGAGAGTTGTGGGCTCTACAGTGAGCAACGAAACATGAATTGAAGTATTGAAAAGTAAATGTAACTATAAAATGTTGTACGTGTGCATACGTCATTCTAATAGGTCAACATGTCAGCGCGCGTATGAACCACGATTAGGTGTTATAGACCGGCTCGGTGGTCCATGCTCCTTTTTGGGCATCAGGTGCAACTGCTGTTAAAGTTGGCGAGACTTCTTGCAGAAGATGCATTCAGATTAAAATAGAGTTCAATGCTTCGGACCACACAAAATAGATTCTTTTCTCTTCAGTTTTAAGGGTGAATAATAAATGAAGTTGTTTTGTGTCCTACAGCTTGTGAACCCCGCTATGCGGCTTTTACCGTGTGACTCGATGACTTAGCGTGCTGTTGTTTTCCTTTTTTTTGTTTGATTTTCGTATTTTACGCATATGCTCGAGCGAGTTTTCGCAGTGACAAATACCTACCACGAAACAAACCTAGTCTTATATCTTGCCTGGTGGAACTTCTTTTATGTCTTGCACAGCGTTGCACCTGATGTGTGAAACAGTGTGTAGAGTTTAAATAATCATGGTAGTCTAGATGATGAGACACTCAGCTGCTGACCCGCGGGTCGCGGGATCAAATCCCGGCCTTCGGCGGCTGCATTTTCGATGGAAGCGAAAATGCTTGAGTCCCGTGTGCTTAGATTTATGTGCGCGTTAAAGAACCCCAGCTGATCGAAATTTGCGCAGTCCTGAAGTACGGCGTCTCTCACAATTATATCGTGATTTTGGGACGTTTACCCCTACATTTATTAGTATAGCGTAGCGGTTATGCTGCTGGACTGCTGACCCGAAGGTTGCGGGATCGAATCCCTTTCATGGCGGCTGCATTTCCAGCTATTCCGTGAACTGTTTCAATTCGCAACCGCTTTCCTAAACGCAATATGTTTCTTAATCTCGTGTTGTCTTCTCACAGAAAATTGCACATAAAACCTGAAACCTGGCTTGGATACGTAACCGATACCAAGAATATCACTGGTGTGCTGAAATGCGGCATTCATCGGAAATACTGCAGTATTTCAATAGGACATGATATATGCTTGTCGCATGCCACGTATCATCACTTACCATTCTCTCTTGCAACGATTGAGACAGACTTGATGGCCTCGCTTAGCTGCTGCCGCACTTCAGCACAGGCTGAAGTACGGCAGCAGTGCTCTTAGGCGCTTTCAAGAAGCCACCGTATAACATTGCTGATTTTTACGTGAACTTGATTGCACCTTCAGTGAACTTATCTAAAAACAACTAAGCAAAGAGCCAGCTTTTTGTTGGCTAATTTCCCGGAAAAATATGCAGAAACAATATCGCTTCTATTACAGTATATTTCGCTGCTACAGATTTCGTTCGTGTACTCCTTAACTGCATTCTAAGTTATACTACATCCTGCGCGTGTTACAAATGACACATCTAATGTACTTAACCTTATACTAACTAGTGACCACTATAATGTACTATCGCAAAGCTTTTTGAAAGAGTTAAGAGATCATATGTACTCGCCACGTTGATCTTTCAGTTGATCGTAAGAGGAAAATCCAAGAAATCTCAATCCTTATATAACAGAGGAAAAAACGAAGTCTTTACTAAGGACTTAAGCAATTTCTTTCGAACCTTCCAGATATTATTTCCTATGCATTCTACTTAAAAGAAACGAGCAGTATTTAGGAATAAAATAACCAAACACTAAAGTATAAACTATGAATGACCATGCACACGAACATAATAAGCCGTTGTTTACCGAAGCCCTATAAGGTTCATTCCGAATAATGATATCCACAAGCATGTTTCGTTTTAGGCCTGCAATGTTGAAAAAATGAAAGTTGTTCACGAGACATTATTCACATTTTCCATGTCTTCAGCAGGTAAAGAATTGAAATCGAAATATTGGCATCTTCGACAAGTTTTCTAAGCAGCGTTGGAAGCATTAAACCTAATTTTATATGCTGATTTCCTTCTCTTTTGTTTGATGCTGCTCTTTAAAATCTCGCTCTATGTTGTGGATTTTTTTCGATGTTCCATAGCTTCTCTTTCTTTTCCATGTTTTGAGAAGGAACTCTCGTTTTGTCGTTGTTTGTTCTTGTTCTATGCGCATTCAATTGCAAAAGAAGGGCATGCGAGCTCACTTACACGCCAACTCGAACTGCATCGGATAAACATTGTCTCCCATGCAGTCAGTGACATCGAAGGCCTGCAGATCCATGACCCACTTGTTGGCTCTGTCCACTCTGTAGAAGGAGAACGTCAGCTTCTCCCAATCGGTGCTTCCTTCGCCGCCCGCTGCGGTATCGTCAGTCTGAGGGCACAGCAACGAGAGAAAAAGTTTGTACTCTAGTGGTCAAATTCTAAACTTGAATTTCTTAAGCTTCCCGAGCAATAACAAATTTCCACAGTGTGACCTAAAGTGGCACAGAGAACACGCACATGAAGAGCTACATGATCATGCAATCAACTAGCCAGCCAACTCACTTTCTCGAGTAAGTATTGTCGAACAGTGGCATTCTCTTCTTTTTTTCTCTCGTGCTTCCACGATGATGTGCAAGATCACGTCATAATGGCCCATTTGCATGGTTCGCTCACTGAGTCCTAACATTTCTATCCTTGTGTGCACAAACGAAAATTACCTAGCTTAAGCGAAGGCAGCTGGGTAAGTTGCACGTGTTTATAGCTATGTAACATCATACTGACCAACACACACATGAACGAGCAGAAAGTATCCAACAACGTCGTTAGGAATACACTAAATGGCACTGCTGGTATACTTAAGAAATAATCGCCCCTGGCCTCGTTCCCCGGTATCATAGCTAACGTAACCTATACTATAACCTAGCACACTCCAACTTCAAACTTAGCACGTCCTAATCTCTAACCTAACCTCTCAAGTGAATTTCCTAACCTAACTTATACTAGCATATTGTCTTTCCTAGATCTGTGTCAAAATATGACACCTTATGCTGCGGCCGTTTCGCGGTGGTCTAGTTTCTGCAGGCAGTGGAGCAACGATTTTCCAGCGTTATCAATGTGATCGGCCGGCCTGTGAACGGCGGGTGATTGCAGTGGCATGATTACGAGTAGACAGAACCGCTGCAATGTGGCGGCCTTGACTGTGTTTTGCCTTCAGCGTATTTGTCTTCGATGTCATTTCAGACACCCGGTTGTTTTTAACGTTTCATCGAAATCTGTGTTTGAAGTCTGATTGTGCGATGGTCAACGTTAGACACATTAGGGAGATTTAGAATACCGTTTGCAAGCGCTGCGGGCGTTGCGGGCGAAGTGGGCAATATAAGAGTTTTAGAATAGCGTTTGCCCTGCCGCTAACCGCAACGCACGATTGCAGCGACACGCAAAAGAAAGCACGCAAGCGAAACCAGCGCTGCGTGCTACATGCGGGCAACGCCTCCTAGATTTCCCGTACCTGCCGGATTATCGGCGGTTACTTGGATTATCAGTGGTCACACCCGAAAAAAAGTCTGGCGCACACACACGTAACGATAGGTAGTGATAACTATGTGACACTCTCGCGATATCTCAAATTATAGAGCAGCCAGATTGCAAGATAGCACAGGACATAAAACCATGGATCTAACAATTCGGTTTGACTTGATTCGGTTCGACATCATGTGGTAGCGGCCATTATTACGGCCGCAACCACACGATTACAATAACAATCATTCGAAAACTGCTTCATTTCCCACATGATACCTGTAGTGGATCTAAACGCCCGGTATGGTCGATACGATAAGCTAAAGGTGTTGTTCAGTGCTTCGCTTGCAGCATACGCAACGTCTCGTGCTGCGTACGTAGCATTGTTACGCACACCCAACTAAACGTGTATATTCTTTAAGAAGTTCCGTGAATTGTGTAGCAAGAACGCGAAGCTTTAGCTACTTCATCTGCGAAAAGCGTAAGGAACAAGATAATCCGCCCCGGAGAGGAAAACTTCCGTTTTCACACCACCTGCAATGGTGAGATTATTTCTGCAGTTGAAATGCTTCTGCACTTTCAGCGATTCATTGTCGCCACTTTTCAACGTTTCTTTTCCGGAGTGATATATCAAACGTACTGAGCTATTATTGCTTCTTCGCGAATAATGCTTTGTTTGTGGAGGTATGCACATTTAATTTACGTATAGCATGTTTGGCACGAAAAAAAATTGTTTCTGATTTGAACACAACATTACCGCCCTCAATATTCCATTTCTTGGACAATGTAATCAATTTTCTTTCCGAACGACGTCCGCTGGCTGTACTGCAATACCAACGCTTATGTATATTATCCCTTGAGGGTTCTTCAAGGGGAAAAAAACGATGTGATTTGATGGGATGTGAAAAGAGTTTTTCGCAACTTTGTTGCAATGAGACCAAACGAGTCTGGCGTCGCATGTTTTTGTACAACTGTTCTTCCCATTCGGCCTTAGCTTCTCTGATAACTTTAACTGTGGAAAAAAAAATCTGTCGATAAAGTTGTTCGCCATCTGCACACGTGAAATTGCTTATTAAGTTTAGAGATTGTGGGCTCAAGGCCAGTGGTCAGCGGAAAACCTCGGATATAGGGCGCAAATTCTCTGGATTCAGGCACATCTGTACGTGGCACCATCTCACTGCTGGTAGCAACGGTGTCCTGCCATGACATGAATAGCAAATGGGGAAAAAAAGTCGTCCCTTTTGAAATAAGCTACTTATGAAAAATTACTTTGGTATCTGTACATCAGAGACCTACTGGAATCATTTTGGGGAAATTTCACTCTTGCACTACTAAGCTAGTGGCTCGATTCCCAAGACAACTGAACACCACCCATCGTAAATACACAAGGTCCCGTTGTAAAATATTAAAGAGCCAATGAAACCACATGGTTTGTAGTGATAAACTGCCACTATACCAGAATGTTTAATGAAGTCTCATGCTGCCCGGGAGTCGTTTTTGAGAACTACCTTTTTTCGTCAGATATGATTTTTGTTTCGCTTATTTGCTATTCAGTTACGACAGGCAGCCGCTGCCACCAACAAGAGATGGCGCTAGGTGTACACATCCCCAAATCCTGGTTACGGTCATGAACAAGAGAATGAGCTCTTTACTGCTTCACGATCCTGGCTGAGTTGATCGCTGTTCTGTCAGAAAACAGTGCCAACCGCGAGTGTGAGCGCTCCCCAGCCCACGTGTACTTGTCGCGTTCGCACATGCGAACCAGCACCCTCCGCCCCTCCCATGTTGCATTGCGGCGCCTGAAATCACATCTACTGTTGCACAGGTGAATAGAACAAGGAGACTATTATCAGAAAACACGCGAAAAACTATAACTCTGAGTGATTCTGCAATATTACAAGTTTACTGAAGCTTGTTAGAAAGGTACTTCTACATGTCTTAGAGGAATCGCCTCAGTGGTAAGACTACAAGTGTTAGTTGCGCAAACTCTTTTTTGGAAACTGCACTGGTCAGGCTTTATGACACAATGTACATCGGGCATTTGTTCACGAGACAGTAAATGTGCTTCGTCAAGCTTCCTCCAAGGGACATGAGATTGTGTACGGTTGGCTGCCTCAACATTGTAGTACTGCTTGGCTAACGACCTCGCTGACGATACCACCTAGTTCACCTACGAGGGCACCGTGACACTTTCAGTATCCTGGCTGAGGACAGATGCTATAAGGGGCCTTCATTTTTTCCTTGCTGAAGCAATATCTCGGACATCGAGACGCAAATCGACTGTCTGGTAACTGTCATCTAACTATAACCTCGTTCAATCAAGGAAGCTGAAAACTCGATCACAGCCCTCCCGCCTCCACACAATTTTACTGTGCCGCCTGAGGTCAGGAGTGGCTTTCACTCAGGTGTATTCTTTTGGCGTATATGAATGACGGATTCTTCCGCATGTGACATTGTCACCAGACGAGTAGAGTAGGTGCCGACGAAAATACGAACATTTTTCCGCGGTGGAGGTCTAGTGGCTAAGGTACTCGGCTGCGAAGAATAAAAAAATAGCCAGTTTGTCAATTATTAGCATGACCAAAAATTTAAATATGATGACTACATGAAAACATGACATAATTATCGCTTAACGAATGAATCCTTTTTTTATTTCTTTTATTTTTCGCATGCGCAAAGCTGAGCGAGGTCCAGTGGTTTTTGTTTGGCGCCCATTCTTTTCTGCACTCTTGTCCTGAAATGTTCGTACTTTCGTCGGCATGTACCAGGTTCACAGACGGGTCACAAGTCCAGGTTCCTGGTTGAAGTACTTGTTGCTTGCTTTCCATGAAAAAAAAAAACGCTTGCAGCTCGTGCTCGTGTAGCTTGCGAGAACTTGTGTGTCTCTCTAACATTTTCGCCACCTTTCTTTCTTTCTTTTTTTCTTTTCTAGTTCTGTTTTTACTTCAATGTCATTATATTTTTCGTCATTTATTTCATTCTACTTCTTGCTTGTTTCCTCTCTTTCAATTTTTACACATGTTTTTTGCCTGCGTTACAACAAGGAACGACAGCTGCCGGCAGCATGCAAAATCCCGGATCTTTAACGTGTTCCTCACGTAATATCATCGTCACGGCACTCGAAAAACGAGTGAAAGAAAAAAAAACATTATTTTGCGCGAGCACGTGCTTGATATGCTACAGATGGCTATACTACATACGGTTTCGCTTGTGTTGCGGCAAGCGGCGACAACAGCATGCGATAACAAAATACGACCACAATATAAATAAAGAGAAAAATAGAGAGGAAGAAAGAGAGAGAAAGAGACAGAGGGAAACCAAAAAGACAGAGAAATAGAGAGAAAGATATCGAGAGACACAGTCATAAAAAAATATATAAAAGAACAATTAGCAGTGGCTTAGCTCGGCTATGCCTGGACGCACCTAGCGCGTGCTTCGGACGGACGGATGGACAGACGGACTTGCAAGCGGGCTCACGCATATCAAGCGCCGGCCCACTAGTAACACGTTCCTTCAAGAGCTTCCAGGTCTTCTCGGGCGCGCCAACTGTATGTCATGTGACGTCATCGCTCCTCGGTGTCATTCGCAGCCCCGGCTCTCGATAAGCAACGCAAAACTGCTTACCCTCGGCCAGTGTAGCGGCTACAAAGCTGAGAAAGAATAAGGACGGCCACAGAGCTGTGCTCCACCTTCGCGCCTGGCACTCCTAGCGCGAAGCTGCTTTCCTGGTTTTACATCTCACTAAACGCAAAGAAATTGTGAACGTTAAATCACGCCCTAAACTCAGTTTGAAACGTGTCCACTGTTGGTAATATTATATTTATGCGATGCCTCTGGTCGCACACAGTACTCGACTAGTGCCAGTTCCCTGCCCGCAAGGAGTCTGGTCGCCTTTTCGAAAGGGAATGTACCACTGTGAAAAAGTGTATAAAGGCTGAAAACGTGTGTCTGTTCCGCAACAGTGCTGAGCATGTTACCCTGTAGCATCTACTTTTAGGTGACGTTTGTGTGGCCCTAGGCCAGGCGTCTCTCACGTTGATGTCAGGCCGACAGGTTCACATCAGGCGGGACAAACCAAACAAGCGCTAAGAAGCACAATATTCCTTTACCATGGCGGCTTTCCGTCTCAGCTATAAACACGTTTGCTCTTTTGAACGGCATTTTCATCGCACGCCTTCTTTTAGTAGAAGTGGCTTACGTGCGCGTTGTAGATTTCCAAGCTGACCAAAGGGAGACTGGGGGAGTCCCACATGCCAAAAGTTTGCTTTTTCTGAAAACAAAAGGAGAAAAAGACAATAAAAAATAATTTACCACCTGTAGGCATGCTTTATACGCAGAAACAGAGTGATTTCGAGGGGTTTGTTCCTTTTTTGAGCATATTAGTGATGAACATAGATGAATAAAATTCCTTCAATTTCTCAGGACTTTTTTTTTTTTTTTTTACTCTCCGCAATCAACAAATCGCTGTCGCAGTTTCTAACAACACGAACACTTTCGACGCGTATAAGGCCCTAATCTCTTTCAGGCCCAGTGGTTCCAAGAAGAATAATAAACATTGTAGGTCAGTCAGCGTGCATCTGGTAAAAATAAAGCGCTGTTCTTCTCCAAGAGGCCGTGTTTAGCATCTGATGTGGTGCCAACGTAGCACACGCAGGTAACGGTGTTCACGTGTCGAGGAAGAAATTTCAGAAGCGGTAGGGCACATTGCACATTCTAACGATGATGATGATGATGATGATGATGATGATGATGATGATGATGATGATGATGATGATGATGATGATCAATCTGCATGGCTCACACCCACTCTGGGGGATTAATCAAACAGCAAATAATTGTTGAGGTGCATTTTTTTTTCACTGTTGATAGATAGGACTTTTATTTCTGTTCAGCACCAAAAGTCTGAATTCTGTCTTCCCATCTCAATATTCTGTATTAAATTGAGCAAACTTTATAAAATATTCTGGATTAACATTTAAATTCGACTAATCGGCGCTGTAACTATTCTTCGTTGAAGATTGTCAGCAAAGCCCCGCCGCGTTGGTCTGGTGGCTAAGTTACTCGGCTGCTGACTCGCGGGATCGAATACCGGATGTGGCGGCTGCATTCTATATGGAGGCGACAATATGTAGGACATTGCGCTCAGATGTCGGTGCGCGTTAAAGAACCACAGATGGTCGAAATTTTCGGAGCCCTCTACTATGGCATCTCTCATAATCATATAGTGGTTTTCGAACGTTAAGCCCCACATTGTATCAATAAAAAAAGCGATAATTTTATTCATTTTTATTTACTTCCCCATGCGCATCTCAAGATGTAAAAACCAGCTAGTTATATTGAAAATAATTTATTTGAGAGTAAAAAGGCATTGTCTTTTATTATTCTCTTTCCCTCCTTGCTCGTTTTTTTTCCTCTTCTAAGCTTCGAAATTGAACGTTTAAGGCGTCTATATACTTTGAGGAAAGGTACTTGCAATGCCCGTGGTCAACTTGCCGTATTTGTCTCTCTTTCTTGTGTCTCTCTCTACTTTGACCTAGTGCCATTTTTTTTATTACTCTTGTTTCTCACCTTCTGCTCGCCTACACACCACTCCCATACGGTGGTGATATTCGCTCGTGATGGCCAGTCGGTCCGTTTGCCTTGCCACACGTTGCAGGGAATTCCTCGCTTGCGCGTCTGAAACGAGAGATATCTACTACGACCTCTCTGGCAATCTTTTTGCACTAAGGTTTAATATTATAGAACTTCTATTTAACGAAGCAGCTTGTGCAACCCCATGTTTCTCAGTAGGAAAGACTGGTTGCATGCATCCACAAAAATGTCTCTTCTGCAGAAGCAAGAAAATCAAGTGAAGTGTCATGAAGGTCTGCTGTTGTAGTCAATAGTCATTTTTCATGTCTTTTTCTATGAATCTGCAGCGTCCAAATCAATATTTTGCCGCCATACTTCCACGAACTTTGTCTCAGGCTGTACAACTATAGTGCAACAGCAAAAAATAATTGTTTAGTTGTCCTCTTGTGGAATATTACTGACCAGATATGAACCCGAGGACGAGTTCTCTTACACTAATTTCAACGCTGTTTAGTACATACTAAATACCAAGACAGTTCACTTTTTCTATCCCTCTCAGTTTTTAGTAAATAACAATAATAACAAGGCAGACTTCTTCGTATTCATAAACGTAGTGATACAGTAAGGATCAGATTACCAACCATAATTTTCCATTATAAAGGCATGTAATTTGGGTATTTTGTTTTTGAGCAGAACGCTTGACATTGTATTTGTGGGTACGCAACCACATTTCCGCATTTTCCGCATTTATCCGCATTTATCATATATTTACCATATTCCGCATTTATCAGTACATCGTATTTTTCAAGAATCTTTATATTCCGCATTTATCAGTACATCGTATTTTTCAAGAATCTTTCTTTTATTTAGATTAGAAGATTTTCATTTCTTGGGCTCTATTTTGTTTTGTAGCACAAGTTCTGCTTCATGCTCTGTTTGGCAATGAACGAGCGCAGTCTTGGAAGTTTCATCACTTCATTCACATCAGAAATGGAGTTTCTCAATAATGGTCTTGTGTGCTGTTTGCGCACTGGACTATATGGCTGTTGTGCGCTCCAGTGTCCTTTCAATATGAGTGCTGCATCATGCGTAGTTTGAGCCTGCACTGCATTGGTGGTCATCAAGGATTTGGCGTTTTAGAAATTATAGACCAGGTGTCTACTCAAACCAGTCTTTTTTTACCTCGAAGCTAAATTAAAGTAAATGACACATGGAAGTATAAAAATCACATCGAATGCTACGTTGGAGGCAAACTCCTATTCATATTCCTTCTCTAACTCTATATCCGAGAAGTTTATTAAGGCGAGCTTCATACAAACTCTGCTCAGTCGGCCCCTTTCAACAATGTCAACATGATTTCATTACGTTTAGGCCCAACAAAACCAAACTTGACCGTTTCTATTTACGTTTTTATCAACCACTACAAGCTGGCGAATCGTTTGACCTTCTATTGTCTATGCTAAAGCGTTTTACCCAGTTTTATCACTAGCATTTCAGTCTTTCTTCTTCTTTTCTTGATTTTTCACCATCCGTCAACCTTTTTTACGTACCTGTTTCTTCAGAAAATATTTAGTCCTGTCTGTGCCGAAGAAAAGCGTGGGCGAAAGATTCGGTACATCCTGGAATTCTATAATGGACTCCATCATGAAGGGCAGTCTTCTCAATGTTCTGTTTTGGCATCGCGTCACTCCCCTCTTCAAGTGTTGTATGTCGAACACAAGCTCTGTGTTGGAAAAGAAACAAACAAGCGTTTTCGGTTGTTTTTTTTTACCTGAGGGATTGAATACATATGTTTGCCCTTGGACATGCTAGAAGGCAGGTTGCGATTACTCTTGTTTCAGGCATAACGTTCTCAGTGGCTTAGCGAGGGGGCACACTAGGCCCGTTCCCCCCCCCCCCTCCTAAATTTTCGCACCATGGCCTAGAAAGCAAAAAGTCACAGCATATCCACGGGGTGAATGATGGAGAATGGGGCGAAGCTGGGTCCACACGCCGCTGCCGCACCGCTTCGGCCTCCCGTTCTCGTACACCGGGATCTTGTCGGATGCCGCCGTGCAGCTTCACGGCACGCTTCTGCCCTCAAGCACTCGCACATCGGGGTTCTGTCTTCGAGCGCGAGCCGCCGCCACCGCCTTGTGGGCACGCCGCTCTGCAGCCTTGTGCATCCGCCGACCTTTTAAACGCGTGCGCCCGCCAAAACGGCTTTTATTTTACTACACCGCACCCCCTAGCGTACGGTGTCGCCGACGAACATGCGCTTGCCAACTTCGTGTGACGTCATTTCTATTTCCTCGCGCACTCGCACATCGAAGTTCTGTCTTCGAGTGCGAGCCGCCACCACCTTGCGCGTTTCATACTTCTAAAGACGACAGTCTTTCTTGGGGACCTTCGGCGCAAAAATTTTGGTCTGTCTGTCTGTCTGTCTGTCTGTCTGCCTGTCTGTCTGTCTGTCTGTACATTTGTCTGTTCACTCTTAATGGTATCGGGTACTTGAAACGGCCGACCCCATCCGCAGTGCCCACCAATGTCGCTCAAGCTTTAGCGTTCATGCTTGTGCAATTGTTAATTAAAAAGCAATTACTGCGCATGTCTGGGGCATCATAACATGACGTATATATTCTGCATGTGCGTCTTTTACTAGAAAAGGCATACATCAGTAATTTTAAGGACCGCAGTGCGTATCATGCTGCGCTGACCATGCAACGCTTGCATGGAACGGGGAGTGCTTCCAACGCTTTGCTAAGACGAGACAGTGGTGGCACCTACCCGTCGCCTTGCGTTCTACATTTTATCACCTCTGACGTGGGCGTGCACAGCCGCCTCAGAGCCACGCGGTTTGTTTTCTAATAAAAATGCCAGATGGCACTCATGTCTCACGTGTGACGTAACTTTATGCGCTCGTTCGCCTCCGCTGCACGCTCGAGGCACTATAACGCAGCGCCTCCAGAATAACGTTCACCGATTTTCTTGTGAAGAAGATCAAACAAATGTCTGATTAACTCTCTCCACACGCAAGACTATCGTCTTTCGACGACATTTGCAGAAACATGCAGATATGTGGCCAATTTTTTTATCGTAACCGTGAATTATCCGCTGGCTGCGTCCCTCAGTCATGTGTCTGTCTGTCTGACGCACAAATGGACGGACGGGTAGATGCACGGCTGGACGCATGGAGAGACGCATGGACGGACGGATGGACGCATGGACGAACGCAGGGACGGATGCACGGATGGACGCACTAGAGGACGAGCGGACGCATGGATGGATGGATGGATGGATGGATGGATGGATGGATGGATGGATGGATGGATGGATGGATGGATGGATGGATGGATGGATGGATGGATGGATGGATGGATGGATGGATGACGCAATTATGAACTGATGGACGCATAGACGGACGCACGGATGAACAAATGGACACACGGATGGACGGAATCACGCATAGACGAACGCAGGTATGGATGCACGGGTGGATGGACAGGCGCACAGATAGACACACGGATGGACGCACGAATGAACAGACACACGGATGGACGGACTCATGGACGGACTGGACTGGTGGACGCACGGATGGACGGAAGCAAGAACGAACGAACGAACAGAAGTGTGGACGGACTGGCGGTCGCTTCGCCCCACTCAGCATCATTCCCTCCATGGATATGCTGTGATTTTTATTATTTATTATACAAGTAACGTCCTCTAGTATCGTACCATTTGCATTTTTCACCGCAAATACTTTTCGTTATATGTTCAAGTACCGCCTTCAACGACTGGTTCAAGAACTAACAAGAGGTGGCTAGATACGATTACGACGGGACGCTCAGCCCACGCCTTAAAGAGCTTTGCTCCTAAAAACGATCACATAAAGTGGTACACCCCTCCCAAAATCAGGGAGGCGCCTCCACCCCCGAATAAAGCTTCTGCCTATACGTACCTGGTGCTTGTCATAGGCGCACTGGGTGAGTTATCGCACCATTGATGGCATAGATACGTTTCAACGTGCAACAGTCTTCATGTGTGCGAATTTGGATGCGAGTTTGTTTTGGATGTGTGTGGTAGTTTTCTGGGACGGGGGGTATTTATGGGAAAACGAGTATGGCTATCGATGGTTTCACACCTGACTTCATCGAACCATAGGCTGTCTGTGGTTGCCCATATGATTCTATCGAACCATAGACTATCTATGGTTTCACATCTGACACTATAGAACCATTGACAATCTATGGTTTCACATCGGATTACATCGAACCTTAGACTATCTATGGATTCACATCTGACTCCATCGAATCATAGACTGCCTGTGGTTTCACATCTTACTCCACCTAACCAGAGACTGTTTATAGTTTCACATGTGACTCCATCGAATCATAGACTACCTATGGTTTCACATCTGACTCCATCAAACTATAGATTGTCTGGGATTGCCCATCTGATTCCATCGAACCAGAGACTGTCTATGGTTTGCCATCTGACTCCATCGAATCATAGCCTGTCTATGGTTTTACATCTGACTCCATCAAATTATAGACTATCTATGGTTTCACATGACTCCATCGAATCATGAACTTTTTATGGTTTCACATCTGACTCCATCGAACCATAGACTATCTGTGGTTGCCCATCTGGTTCCATCGAACCAGAGACTCTATATGGTTTCCCATCTGACTCCATCGAATCATTGACTGTCTATTGTTTCCCATCTGACTCCATAGAATCATAGACTGTTTATGGTTTCACATCTTACTCCATCGAATTATAGACTATCTATGGTTTCTCATTTGACTCCATCGAATTATAGACTATCTATGGTTTCACATGACTCCACCGAATCATAGACTACCTATGGTTTCACATCTCACTCCATCGAACCAGAGACTGTCTATGGTTTCACATCTTACTCCACCGAATTATAGACTATCTATTGTTTCACATCTGACTCCATGAAATTATATGCTATCTGTGGTTTCACATTTGACTCCACCGAATCATACACTACCTATTTCAAAAGTTAATTAGAGCGCGAAAACTTGACACAATCACTCACACACGCACACACCCATGCATCAAACACACAGCGCTCACCAGAGACTGTTTATAGCGCTGTGTGTTTGAACCAGAGCGCTGTGTGTTTGATGCATGGGTGTGTGCATGTGTGAGTGATTGTGTCAAGTTTTCGCGCTCTAATTAACTTTTGAAATGATCTACCAACTAGCCCAACAACAAGTTCTCTTAGATTACACTACCTATGGTTTCACATCTCACTCCATCGAACCATAGACTGTCTGTGGTTGCCCATCTGATTCCGTCGAACCAGAGACTGTCTATAGTTTCACATCTGACTCCATCAAATTATACACTGTCTGTGGTTTCACATCTGACTCCATCGAACCATAGACTGTCTGTGGTTGCCCATCTGATTCCAACGAATCATAGACTGTCTATGGTTTCCCATCTGACTCCATTGAATCATAGACTGTTTATGGTTTCACGTCTGACTCCATCGAACCATAGACTATATATGGTTTGAAATCTGACTCCATCGAACCATATACTACATGAGATTTCACATCTGACCACATCTAACCATAAACGCAACGGCTCACCGTGAGTTCCTGATATTATGCGGTTCACAGATCTCACGCCTTGTGGCAGGGCAAAATCGTTGATGCTTGACGTCTCCGAGCTGAAATCAATCCGGTAAAGCCTTTCTGTGGTGTCCATGCGAACCTACAGGAAAGCAATTGAACCCGAGTTCACATAGGTGGTATCCTTGTGAAAGAAAATAACCGACCATAGCGAGCCCATGTCTGTTCAACAACGTAGTTCCCACTTGTTTCTAAACCTCGAGACGCATTTTATTGAAGCATGGCATCTTGAAAGTTTGACAGAGCTAATAAAACGTACCAACAAGTCTAGTGTAACGCGGAAGTAGGGCTCAGCCCGAGTCTGAGTTCTCATTTCCTTCGTTTTGTTTCTGTCTATGTTTCTTGCATCTCTTGTTTACACCTGTTTTCTTCCTACGCCTTTATTTCGGCTTTCTTTCTCCAGTTATTTGTTTCTCTTTCTGTCTTTCTTTCTTTTTGTTTCTGTCTTGCTTTCTGTTTTGGTATGTGTTTTTCGTGTATGTATCTTTTATTATCTGTCTCCCTCTTTATGTGTCTTTCTCTGTGTTTTGTTTTTTCTATCTTCTTGTCTCTGTGTCACCTTTTTTCTTTCCCATTGTTTTCATTTTTCTTCTCCTTCTTTGTCTGTTTCTCTTTCTATCTTTCTCTATTCCTCCGTTTCTTTGTCTTTTTCTAAGTTTGCCTGCCTTTTAATCATTTTGGTTTGTTTCTTTCTCAATAAATATATATATATATATATATATATATATATATATATATATATATATATATATATATATATATATATATATATATATATTTATTTATTTATTTATTTATTTATATATATATATATATATATATATATATATATATATTCCTTTATTTCTTGTCTTTTTTGGTCTTCATTTTCTTTTTTTTTCATTTCTGCCTTCTTATTTATATCTTGTTCTTCCTGCCTTTCTTTTTCTGGTGTTGGTTTTGATTTGACACTCACCCCTTGTGCACGGTAGTGGCGCTTGCCCCATTCTTGTAGCTGATGCCCACGTGAGGAGTTTCGGACGAAGGAGCACAAGCTACCTATAGGTTGTACTGTTTCAGCATTAAGCGACTGAAAAGAGCATGATCCCGTTCCTGATGAACGTTTTTTTTTTCGGGACTGGGCTCAAGTTACCGACAGCTTATGCAGCTTCGCTGCTGAAATATCGTTGATCCCACCATCATAGCAGTCGGTATGAAGAAAAAAAGTGAACCGTGTCCTTTCAGAAGTACTCGAGTGTTTAGTTTAGGACTAGGTTTTTATAAGAGAGCTTGCCGAATGCATCCTGGTGTTTGACAGCTGTAGAACATTATTTGGAACCGATGCACCCCCGCTAACGCCTAGTGGTGTTTCTCCAGACCAACGACTAAACTCCATAATCATGAGTGAATCTTTGTGGTAGAAGCAGCAGTCAACATGCACTTCGGCACGGCATATGCTGAATCTCGCGCAATAATGTTGCACATCGATCTGCACTTATTCAAAGCATCGTAATTTCGCCATAGAAATGTCAAGATGCAAGAAAAGGGAGCAAAGAGGTGCACCACCACTCTTACTGTATCTATCGTGAAGCACTGCACGTGTGCATGGGGTGGTTTAATTAAATAAAAGTGGGTGCGCAAAGCGGAGCAGCTGAGACGTTCAAGATGACCGGCGCCCAACCAAATCTTCACGCAGTTACTTCCTACACGTTGGAATATAATTACGAGTGTTTCCGATTCACTGACTTTAAATATTTTTTCACATTCAGGTGACTGCATATATTAGTGAGCCCAGTTTCCGTGCTAGTACTCTCATTAGGGTGGCCAGCATATGCAATAACCCCCAGTATGGAGACAAGGCATCCATTTTCACTTATTCCTCTCGCAGGTAGACTTTTTTTTTTTGGACGAGGTGCTTTAGAGCTATAAGGCAAAGTGATTGAGACAAAAGGATAAGAACACAAACCAGACTCGTTCACGGACTAACAACTGACTTTATTTTGCACCAACACAGCCCTCTAAATATGCGCGCAAGCACTTGCCGAGTGACAAACGAGTAAGCACACAAATGGTCATACGCAAATAATTAAGCAAAATGTATCTAGTATAGAAGACCGTGGTTCTCTTCTTTTCAAGAGCCGTAGAAACAATATAACATAGCTCAGTATACACACTCATTAATTGCTCATTTTTCAACACTTTCGTCTCACGGCTAAATGCATTGTTCCAACTCAAGGTCAATTGTTGGAGGCACTCACACGTGAGTCAGCAACAGCCCGGTCATTCTTCGCGTCAACAGTGACTTCTGCTAAGTAGCTGAGGTAGTTGAGAGGAGACGCGTCCGGTTTCCATTCTTCGGCGGCAAAGCCTTCGCAGTACACTCCGTCCGGGTACTACAAATGAATGTCAAACATAAACACACTTTATGTATTTCACTAAAACACTCCTGTATTTTTTTTCAATGAGATAAAATTAAACAACGCAATCTTTATCGTCTTTTCTTGGTGATGGCTATCCCTCTCCGCGTGTTATTTAGGGAAAAGATGATGATTGATATGTGGGGTTTAACGTCCCAAAACCACCATATGAATTTGAGAGACGCCGTAGTGGAGGGCTCCGGAAATTTCGACCACCTGGGGTTGTTTAACGTGCACCCAAATCTGAGCACACGGGCCTACAGCATTTCCGGCTCCATTGGAAATGCAGCTGCCGCAGCCGGGATTCGAACCCGCGACCTGCGGGTCAGCAGCCGAGTACCTTAGCCACTAGACTACCACGGCGGGGCGTTTTTAGCGAAAAGTAATAATGAAAAGAAAATATATATACCTATATGCGAATGCACATTTGAAAAGTTTAAATGTTCTCCCTCTTAACACAGCATACATACAAACACGCAGTGCACAAATTTAGTGTAGTTCATCCAATACTCGTCCCTAATATTAGCGTTTTAAAGAATATTCAAGCACTTTGACTGCTTTGGTCATTTCTGACGGCCATAGACTCAGTATTTTCGCTAATGAGAACGTTCACTCAGAGTTTAAGAATTGGATTTCTTGGTTCTAGTGGCTATCTAAGCATCATGTGCTTTGGACAGGTCAGCACTATTTATGGCTACTAGGTTGCAAATGGTCTGTGTTCTTTGCCAGAAATAAGCTTATTTTATTCTGTACAATGTTCACGGCATGATAGCTGTGGAAAATCGACATAAAAGAGGCGCGGTGGACGTCGTGGAGGTTTGATAAAGAATCGCCCAGACCTGCGAGGAATGCGCAGCAGAGTCACAGAGAGAGCTCGAAAAGTGGACTTTCTGGAGCCTGTGAGGACTGTGTAGACTCTTAAGAGGCAGATAATACAAGTACACATACAAGGAATTTTTGCCATTTTATTTGCATACACAGATACCCAAGGCGTACACAGATACTCCATGTATTTCTCCTGAGAGGGACGGTTATTTCCTTCTCGCTTCTATCACGTCAAAGTTCATCGGGACGGCTTTACGCTCTCCCATAGTAGAGTACCTAGTACTCTAAATCGTTCCCCACTTGTTCTAAACCCACACAGATACCCAAAGGCGTGCCCTTAGACGCCATACGTACGAAAAACTACCAGACACTGCCACAAAGCTGCTTATTGCTTTTCGGGTTGATCGGCTAACTCCCTTGATGCGTGCATGGCAGCGAGAGTTACAGGGTCGTTTTCAACGCCTTATTGCAGCGTGGTCATTGACGGCGGCTGCTTGGCGTTGCAGGCGTAATCCATGTGCTCACCCTGAGCTTCTGCGCTTTGCGAAAAGCTCCCGTCGAGTCCACTAGGAAATCAGGCTGCCAAATCCTTACCAACTGTGTTGCCGCCGGCACGTTATCAATCAGTTTTCCTAGATCACTTTGCCAACATGGCTCGTACGACAATGTCATCACATCGCGGTAGCACCTAGACAGCCACGATACTAAGTAGGCTCCCTCCAGTTTCATCAGAAGTAGCTGAACAACTTTGCACAAGTGCGTCAGCTGACGAAGTGAAAGAGGCACTGTCTTCCATGAAGCGTGGCTCGGCCCCCGGGCCGGATGGGTTGACTGTGGAGTTTTATTTAACGTTTTGGGACGACATTGGTGCTCTTTTCACCTCTGTTATTTGCCGCTGTATCGAGAACTTTCATTTTCCTGATAGCTTTCGCGATGGTCGAATCGTTCTAATACCTAAACACAACCCATCGTTTGTTCGCCCTGAGGAGCGGAGACCAATAACGCCCCACAACGTTGATTATAAAACTTTCGCAGCAGTTATAATTCGGCATTTAAGAAGCCCGATGCCTTTCTTAATAGGTCATCGTCAGGCGTGCTCTATTTCTGGAAAAGAAATCCACAGTCTCTCCTTTGTTACGCGTGATATAATTGCGTACACGTTAGCAAGATCAGCTCAGGGACTCTAGGTTTCACTTTACCAAGAAAAGACATTCGATCGCCTCGAACACAGCTTTATATTTAGCGTAATGGCAGCATTTGGCTTCTCCCAAAACTTCATTGAGCTTCTCACAAACGCATACCGAAATATACGCAGCACATTGTTTCTTGATGGTTTAGAGAGTGTGCCATTTCCTGTTACCCGTGGTATTCGCCCTCTATCCCCTGCATCTTTTGTACTCGGCCTCGAACCATTCCTTGGCTCGATAATCGCTGATTCATACGTTCGAGGCCTTCCTTTTCCAGGTAGTGGTACCATGACGGTGACAGCATTCGCTGATGACATCACGTTGTATTTGAAGAACGAGGACAGTTTGTCCCTATAGCCTACGACTTTTTGCTGCGTATGGCACGATTTCAGGTGCTGCGTTCAATTTTTCAAAATGTCGATATTTATTCATTGGTTCCCCAGGCGTCTGCCTAAGTCCCTTTTCCGGTCTTCAAAAAAGTGACTCCATTGGATTCTGGGGCTTGATTATACTTGCTACGGCATATCAGCCTCCTTGTGGGTTTCAGTAGTCGAAGATGTAAAACGACACATCCGGGAAGCACAAAAGTATGATTTACCTATGCTCGAAAAAGGTATTTAGCACAGACTGTGTTTTTGCGGCCGTTCGTGGTACATATCTCATGTCGTACAGCGCCCATTACGAATCACTAGGTCGTTGTAATCCCTCATTAGCTCATTTTTCTGGTCAGGTGGAAGAGAGCTGGTTTGCCGAGCAGCACTTGGGCAACCAAAAAACTGTGTTGGATTCGCGCGGGCATTCGTATCTGTTCGCTGCCGGCTGCTTGCCTGACGACTCTTACTTCGGTTGTTGCATGGTGATCAGTGTGCCGCACGTTATCTTGCCTGCTATTTTTAGGCACCAAGATACACTATTTACTACCACATGCACGGCTTAATTCTGCATCGCAAACAGCTTAACGGCACAGCATTTACTGAACGGCAGTAGCGTTTTATCCACACGCGCCGCATGTTTGTCCCATTGTGGACATTCTTGAAAGCCGCAATGTAGATACAACGGCAGCTCTTATTCTTCCTCTGGTTCCTCCAGCCCATCTAGCACGATCGAGACATGTCTCGTGGAGCGCGACAACGGCATCGTTTTCGCCCGATCACCTCCGCAGACTTCATGTGGTGTCTTGGATGGAGAGTACTCCCTAACACGGGACAGACTGGAGAAGCGGGGCATGGTGCCATCTTTCACTTGTCCTAACTGCCCGTTACAGGAGTCTAATCAGCATGTGATGCAGCAATGTGTCATTGCAAAGATGTTTTCGGAAGTCCCGTTAACACTTGTTTCCGTTTCCTATGTGTTAATTGCTTTGTCACATCTGGTTGCTGCTCGCGTAGTCGCTTTGCACGCCTTCTAATAGCTGCGGGAGCTTTTTGTTTGTGGCATAATAGGTGCAAGGTTATTGCGGCAGGTCATCGTCATCGTGCTCTCTTTCCGATTCTGGAACGCTTATACTCTGAACTACTATCGTTTCCATCAGAGGAATTGTTCTTCCTTGGGAAGAAAGAATTTCTACGACAATGGTGGTGCCACTTTCTGTCCGTAGTTGACAGACGTGTTCAATTAATCTTCCACCTGGCCTGGTTCCTATAGCCAGGTCACCTCTCAGTGTCGCATTAGTGCATGTAATTTGTATGTGTTTACTATTTGTATGTATTTGTGTGTACCCCGTATAGCTGTGAGTTCTTGTACATGTGCACTTCATTCTAACGCGGTAAATGATGTAAATTTTACGAATCTCTATGCTTGTTGTATATACTTGCTTACATCTTCACCAAGTCTTGTAAATTCTGTACATATATCATCATTTACATTGTCCATATTGTGATTAGTGGATATATGTAGCGTATGTAGTCATTAGTAACATGTGTCAGGGACACCCTATGGACTTGGACACTTTTGTTTAAATGTGTCATGTATGTTGTGCTTTGTCATTTTTTTTTGTTATTGTGCTTGTTGTATAGACGCTCGTTCCGTATACGTTGTGTTCAAATAAACTTTTTTTAAACACCGAAGGACATCGAGAGAGAAAAAGAGAACAAGCTCGTAACTGCCACCTGGAGGAAGGAAAAGAGTGAAGTAAAAATAAAGATGACAATGACTTAGACAAGTAAGATCCCACGTGGAATCGATGATATGCGAAGCACGAATTAGGAAGGTTGATATTTCACTTTAAAATCAGCGCTACCTTACGAGGCGGATGGACGTAGTACGCAATAAACACAAGGAGCAATATGCGCACTCATGTATTTAGGTAAGAGTCAGGTATGCTGCTTATAGTTGCGTAATGACGGCATCACTAACGTTTCCAATGCCAGCACCAGTAGTGGCAGGCATGTAAACTATGCCGTTCATGACTCCCATGTCATGATCAACATATTTGCGCCTGGCAGTTGTGTTAGCCGTCTATTTACGTCCCGTAATACCAAATCTTGCATATGCGAAGCTAGCGAAACGGCCGCGAGTGCATCATGAGCGTGACATGTAGTCATGTTTTTACAAGACACGCATATCATGATAATCATGTTTGAACGAGTAATTTACTTTCGCCGTTTAGTCGCGTCACATAATACCAACTTTGGTATGTATGCATCTAGTTAAATGACCGCGAGCGCACCATGAGCGTATGTAGTCATGACTTAGATGACATACATGACGTGATTTCAACGTTAGGACCTGTCACTTGTGTTCGCCATGCAGTCATGTCAACACATACCAGTTTTGCAACGTCATGTGAACGAAACCACCCCGAGAGCAGCAAGATAATGTAAATTAGGACATTCATGACACACATGTCACTATTTTCATGTTATCACTAGTCATTCATGCTCGTCAAACGGTCGAGTTATGCCATACCAAGAGAGCGAGAGAGTGAGAATTTATTAGAAGGCAGAGAGGTCGGCTTGAGCTAGTTCGCTCTAGCCTGCTACTCTACACAGGGGATAAGGGAAAGGGGAAGGAAAGAGGGATGAAGGGTGATGATGGGGACAAGAAGAGTTGGTGCGTATGTACAGTAGCCACTTAGCATAGTACCCTACAGTCTAGTTTCTAGTCCAGTGCTTTTTATAAAGTCTAGAACAGCCTTTGTAGCAGTTTTTGACACTGTTTGGTCGTTCATTGCTTACAATATGTGGCTTTCACTTAATGATGTTCATCCAATGCTTGCCAACGTTGCAGTTAGCATTTTTCTTTGCGCCACGTATAATGCACAGTCACAGAATATGTGAGCTATCGTTTCGCGCACTTGGCAGCGTTCACAATTCGGGCTGTCCGCACGGCCGATTAGGTGGGTGTAGTGGCGAGTGAAGGCGACGCCCAGGCGAATTCGGTACAGTATATTAGCATGTCTTCGGCTGATTACCACTATTGCTATAGATGCCATCATGAAAATGGCCAGGAAAGCTAGAAGTCGTTGGCAGCTAAATGGAGAGAATGATACAGTTAAGTCGCCTAAGTTAGTTAAGAAATGCGTCGCATTTTAAAGAAAAACGTGTATTATCGGGTGAGCCGGTCCCTTTGGTACATTAAAGTGGGTAGAGCTCAATAGGCCTGGTCGCGTCGATAAACACAGCATCTCAAAAAGAGGTGATTGTGTATCGTCATCCACTTATATCAGTAATTTATTTACCGAAATCCTCAGCATAGCATATGCAGGACAGCATAGCGAATGCCGGACAGGGCTCAGGTGTTTAATATAGGAGCCACAACTGCACACAACGGACTGTCAACACGCCCTTGATTGTATAAGCGTTCGCCCACCAACACGGGGCTGACTTTTAAAGACGATTGTCTTTCTTGGGGCCTTCGACGCAAAAACTTTGGACTGCCTGCCTGTCTGTCTGTCTGTCTGTCTGTCTGTCTGTCTGTCTGTCTGTCTGTCTGTCTGTCTGTCTGTCTGTCTGTAAATTTGTGTGTTTGTCCACCCTTACCAGTACCTTAAACGGCACCAAAGTGACCAAACCATACTCCAAACGGTCGACCCCATCCGCAGCGCCCACTAATATCGCTCAAAGTTCAGCGTTCATACTTGTGCGATTTTCAATTAAAAATCAATTATTGGGAATATTTGAGGCACCATAACAACACGTCAAGATTATTTTTGTGTATTTTTTTTTACTAGAAAAGGCATACGTAAGTAAATTTAAGGATCGTAGCGTTTATAACGCTGCACTGGTCATGCAACGCTTGCACGAAACGGCAAGTGTTTGCAATGCTTTGCTAAGACTACAGGGTGGTGGCACCTACCCGTCACCTTGCGTTCTACACCTTATCACCTCAGAGACAGGCGCACATGGTGCGTGCCCCGTTTTTAAGGATAACTGCCGGATAGCGCTCATGTCTCACGTGTGACGTGACTTGATGCACTCGTTCGCCTCCGCTGCACACTCGAGACACTCTAACGCAGCGCCTTCGGAATACCATTCACCAATTTTCTGGCACAGAACATCAAATAAACCTTTTGTTCACTTTCTCCGGATGCAAGACTATAGCGTCTTTCGACGACATTTGCGGTGTAACATGCAGATACGGGGCCGATTTTTGTTTATATAACAGGGGCTCTAGAACGACAAGGCAAGCCATGACCATGAACGCAGGTAAAGAACTAGGTATCCATCATACCATAAACTATAGTAATTTTCGTTAAGTATTCATCATCATTAAGTATTAAAGCACCCATAGTGCTATTTCTTCGTCATTCTTCAGAGAACCAAGGCTCCCGCTAGGTCTGTAAATATACTTTACGCTGGCGCTGATATCAATTAATAATTATGGCCGAGCCATTTGTAATAAACTGGAAACATTGAACAACCGAATGGTGGTTCAATTTCTATTGTGTGAACCCGGGTTTGTTATTTTACTCTTCCGCCAGGCTACACTATATACGCAGGTTAACGCGATTCCTTGCCCGACATGACACCCGTATACGATCTTATCACGAATGAGTTTCAGACACTAGCATGTCTCCATGGTAAAGTACTCGACTGACACGCACAAGGCCCAAGTTTGAATCTCATCTCAACCAAGCATTTCTTTTAATTTAATAAATATAATCTTATTGTGCGTGATAGCGGTTGTGGACAATGGCAGTGGCGGCGGACAAGTATTGTGCCAATCGCGGTTGTTGCTTTGATTCCGTAAGTCTTGTTGTAAAAATTATGCACCACGTTCATTCACGGTTTCATATCTGCCTCACTCAGAAGTACTGACTTTGATGGCTCGTGCGTTAATGAACTACGGCAGTGTTACTCGTGCGCACATTCTGCATCACTGCACTGTTTCCAACTCCTTTTTCAGCCGTGTCCTAGCGATGACCACTACCATATCGTCTTCGTTTAGTTTTGATATGATTCTGAAAGATTCTGCTGAGGCAAAGGCAGGCCTGGCAAGCGGCTTTTCGGGTGTTTTCTTGGCAGTCAAAACACACACTATTTTCCTTTTCTCTCTGCTTTCCCTTGCAAGGAGCTGGCTGGCGCCTTGACCCTCTAAATGACAGTTGTGAGCGGTTTCAACCCTTCGCTACAATTTGTTGTGTTTTGAGTGAATAATAATAATAATAATAATAATAATAATAATAATAATAATAATAATAATAATAATAATAATAATAATAATAATAATAATAATAATAATAATAATAATAATAATAATAATATCTGTGTGAGTCTATATGCTCACCTCCAAATCTTCGGCGTTTACTTGTTCGTGAGTAAATTGCATTATCTCCATCACGTTGAGCTTCTCGGTGATTTCAGTGCTGTTCTCGCCTGGTCGCCTGACCTTTTCCTGGCGACACATTCGGAGCTCAATAGGAACATTGCGTTCAGCGGACATCGAGTACCAGGAATTTTTCTCTGTGAAATCTGCGCGGAAATATTGAAAAACTGAAACATGGGTTGCACACATTTTGAACAAGATCTAGCAAGATACGCTGAGCCCCGAGCCCGCGACAAAAGCATGCTGTATTCTCACCATTTCCTCCGCACGCCGTATCACTTAAATGATCATGTGTTCAAATGACGAGAGAATTGGGTGAGTCATTTCGTGTTTAGGGTTAAAGGCAGCTCAAGCAACACTGGTCAAAGGAAAAATGGGGCATCATGCTTCTTGTGCCGCCAGCTTCGTCTCTGTTCGTAAGGCTACCCACCATAGATTGATGCCCACTGTCATCCTTTAGTCCAAAGGTGCATTCAAAGATGTTCTGGGTGGTTCATGGACAATCGAAGTGGTGACTGTCTGTCTACATAGAATGTCATTTATCACAATTATGGATAGTGTATATGAAGTCCTGCGTCTACTAACAGTCTGAAGTTATTTAATAAAACTGTCACTTGCGTCATAAAAGAGCATATGGGCATTGATCCAGTATTTATGCACGCCATAGCTTCATATATGTACATGGCAGAGAACTCTGGCATTAATAATGTCTAAGGGAGCTGCAACAAATGTCTGTTCAGGCAACGCAGAAATGATGGGTACGGTCTGAATCAGCTTTGCCGCAAAACAAAATATAGCAAACGTTTAGCATTACGCTTCCCCAATTTGACATCTTTATTCTCTCAATTCAAATCGGCTCACAAAGTTCACAAAGGTCCGCTATTTTATTCGAAACAAAACCAAAACACACCAATAAAAACAAAGCCACAGGTGCATTCGATGCCCGCAATTACGAAGACTATGTACTACCCATCGTTCTCATGGTGACTGAACGATCACTGCGCCAAAGTGCCCCCTAGTAAATAATATAGGAAACTCTATGATACACGCAAATATAGCATTGCGCCCATGAGACAGTGCAAAATCAGGTAGGGGCCACATCTGTTTTATGCTGTCTGCAAGTTCTTCCATGCACACGCATGCAGGCGGGCGTTTTCTGTCCCTCGAAATTTGCTGGAAAAAGCATCATGGGTTTGTACGTAGCTATCGTGAAGACCTTTTATGTAATACCGTTGGCCATCTGAGAATACTCGTTTTAGATGCGAAGCAGCTCTTTGACGAGCCTGTGTAACGCTGTCTCGTGCGCCCACACAACCCCTTCACCGCAGGCGTTGAAGCGGTGACAAGTAGGTCAAGTTGCAGCAGTGCGTTGACGTCACTCTCTCCATCACCCGCAGCAACTGTCGGCTCCTCCGCCTGCTCGCAACACACTTCTCTCTCGCTTCAACCTCTCCAGCGCCCGCAACGCTCGACCGCACGTCGACTGGAAATACTAGATAGATTTAGTTGCACGTCCGCAGCAGCCACGTGAACGCAGCAAATGACTAGCAGGCTGCGTCGGTATGGCTGTTGTGGACGCATGAATAAATCTGTCTACTCAAATACAACATTCCCCAAAACATACACAAACAATTACTCATACCACCCCTTCCTAAAAACATGCATGCAACATATCATACTAAGCGCCGAATCCAAAGAGCAAAAGCTCTTCAGAAAAAAATTCCATTGATCCAATGACGTGCTCCATGTCGATGCGGCAGAATACCCATCCTACTCATCCTATGCCCTCTCTGCTGTCGACTATAACGGCAAGGCGCTCACAACGGCATCCGTCACTGTCAACTCTTCGGAGGAGGCAGAGGAGGCTGCCATCGCTTTAGGTCTATCCATCCCCAATATCACTATGATTGTAAGTGACTCCAAAACTGCCATACGCAACTTCAGCGCAGGTCGCATCTCATCAACTGCCCTTTCAATTCTTAAGAAACATCCTCCCACGCAAGACGTTGCTCTCATATGGACGCCCGCGCATGCGGGGTTGAGTGGCAATGAGGCGGCTCATACCTGTGCTCGAGGAATGACCGGCCGAGCGCAGGCCTCTGATGGCGCCTTAGACCACGCGGCCTTTTTCAGCGCGAGATATTGTCTTTTGATCTTCCACGATATAACAAATAACTACCGCCTACAGCACACTATATACCCCCCCCCCCTTACATCATGGAGCTTCGCGCAACCATGAAATACTATGGCGCCAGTTACAGACCCGTACGTTTCCTACCCCATCTTTTCGCCATCTTATACACCCTGCGACATACCCCTCCCCTTTGTGCATTTTCTGTCAACAAAGAGCTAACCTAGACCATATCATGTGGGGGTGTACTCGAAACCCACCACCCAATTCTCTACACATTAATAGTAAGGAGCAGTGGGAGGCTGCTATGTGCAGCTAGGTGCCCGAGGTCCAGGACCAGGTCTTGGAATGGGCCAAGAAGGTAGCGGAGACCTACGCTGGGTAGGCTGCTCTGACACTCCACCACCGCACCTTTCCTTCATGGGATGAATAAAGTTTTTCTTCTCCTCCTGTCTACTCTTTGTGCGCGCTTATCTGCGATGGAACTTACATGAAACCCAACCCGCCTACCGTGTCTTTGTGTTTTAAACAAATGTTTACTCGATAAACGCTACACCAAGTTTTGTTTCAAACCATTTTCAGCACCCACGTGGACGCCCGTTTTAACCAGGCCAACGCCGTGCTCACTGCTGCTGCTTCGCATCCCATCAGGCTTCCCTTCAGGGAGATGGTCCATAATTTTAGGGGCGAAGCTTCTTAAAGTGGCACCCGTTTGTCCCTCGTAGTCGTAGTCGTAGTGTGTAACAAGTGTTACATTTTGACCTGCAAGGTGGTGCCGGTGGGAGATTTCTCCTGTGCTTTGTTGAACAATAAAAAGTTCGCGGCGTGCACGTTAACTAAAAGCCGAATGCTACTGTCTCTCATTCCACATTAGCAACCTTTGGCATGTTCGAGTAGAAAACGTTAGTAGAAGTAAAAGTGTCAAAAGCCAACTTCTGCTGTCTCTCATTCCCAGTAGCAGCCATTGTTTACCTTCAAGGTAGTGCCTGGTGATATTTCTCCCGTGCGTGACTAAACAATAAAAAATATTGGTTCAAAACGTCGTTTATTGATGAAATAAACCAACAAAAGACGCCAGATGTTTTCTAAAAGCAAAACAAAAAGACGCCAGATGTTTCTAAAGCAAAACAAAAAGAAGACGCCAGCTGGTTAACGAAAGACGCCAGGTGTTTTCTAAACCAATGGTTTTATGTGATCGGGCGAATTAACGGAAAAAAATTTCACGGTATTACTTCAAGGAGCTTCGCCCAATCTCATCATCATTCACCTCGTGGATTTGCCGTCAATTTTTTTTTCACTTCATTATCCCCATTCATTTTCTCCCTATGTGATTCGTTTTTTGCGTCACTTTTTTTTGTCTACATAGGCGCACGAATAAAGCCAGGGTCGTGCGACTTTACTGGTATAAATTGAAAAATGGCTACTGAGGTGTTACCACCTCCTTCGGAAAAGAGAAGAGAAATAAATAGTAGGACAACGAATGAAATCAGTCGGTATAGATGGTGCCCATCTCCTGAGTATTGTTCCTTTTCTCGTCAGCATCATGCTTAGATGCAAGCATAAGTATAAGTATTAGCAATTAGCTTAAACTAAAGCATGGCTGGACAACACGAACAGTTGGGAAATGCAAGATGAAAGTTTTGCTGGTTTTGCTGCGTGTGACATATCTGTATCAAGGAAAACAGAACCGCAACAGTCAGCGTGTTCCCTTTCCGTTGTGTTTATGACCCAGGTACAGAACACGATAACAATAACCACCACTTGCTCGCCGCCTTCATATGACGGTTGGAATACGCACTGGGTGTGATGTTACAGATTGAATCCTTACCGGTCCACACTGCGTAGTAGACATCGATAGTCTCTATTACTGCGCCATCGTCGTCCGTCCTTTTGACAGGATTTCGCCTGTACGTCCACGTTATGCATGGCATACCCCGGCACGTTCCTGTGACGGGCCTCTCGTTGGACGGAGGCATGCTCAGCATCTGACGTATCGGGAACACCATGGAACCATTGAGACCCTTGAGTAAGTGGAAGTTGAACGTGTTCACCATGTCCGCGTCTACCCGGGAGCACACTGCGAGCAAGATTGGTCACGCGGGGGAAGTCAAATAATTCGAAACGCCATTTCACAGCGTAACTATATCGATACTCTGAAGAACAAAAAAGGACCACTTTGCTTCAGCGTTTTGCAGTATAACACTCCTAATCAGTTCATAAACCAGTCATAGCCATTTTTTGCTTTGGCCTCACTATTCCCATCACTCTCAAAAACTTGCCTGAATGATCAATCAGTGAGAGAGAGAGAGAGAGAGAGAGAGAGAGAGAGAGAGAGAGAGGGTAAAGAAGTATAGGGAAGGCAAGTATGCGTTAGCCAGGTGAGCGTCCGGTTTGCTATATATCCCGCACTGGAAGTAAGAAAATGAAAATTGCAAAAAACAACGGGGACTACGAATGTAACTATAAGATTCGGTACGGTTCAGTTGTTACTACAACTCCAGCTATACGTTTCAGTAGTGTTTGACCTATTTTCAATCTATCCACATATTCCATTGTTACGCTTTTTACATGTTTACTAAACTTTACCCTATTCTAAGGCCTAGATATGCCAGCGTATAGTAGTCGCTATAAATATTATCTCTTGCACTTTCAACGCCCACAGGGAGTTTCTATTCAATGTCACTGAGGCTTCATAGGCCGCCAAAAACCTTGAAATTATTGTGGAAAGTCACGTGATACCATCAAATTTAATATCAGGAACTCGAGGTTGTTCATTTCAATATATAATATTGAAACGTATATTTGGGCAAGCCGAACTAGCGAAGACGCTTTCGCGTGACTATACTGAAATGGGTCGGGCTTGAAGATATTGAAATTATTCTAATTTACGAAAAATATTAATATCAGCAGTTTTGTCGGAAAATTTGAGCAGTACATGGTTTGGGTTATGCTCGAAATTCACGTAGAGAGCTTATTTTCTTGCAATAGGTGAATATCAACTGTGTAAAGATGGTCGTATGGTCATTTTATGGCACTACACGACTTTATAATGCCACACAAAGTTTCCTATTAAGGCCTTCCGTGTTTTGTTTTACTTTGTGTTGTTTTTCATTTCGTGTTTTTTAAGAAGCGAAAAGAACCATTTTCAGGCACTTACGTTGGCTGCTGATCTGTACAGTCTGGTTGAGAGCTTCGTCTTCAATATAGCGCAATGTTTCCATAACACCGAGGTCAATGACGAGAGACGCTCGGCCGTGTCCCGTCTTGAAATTTTTTAGGTAGCTCTCCCTGAATTCTGATGCTACTCCAGATTCGCTGGAGCGGGCCTCGGGTGAACATTTATTCACAGTGTAGGCTTGGCCAACAGCTTGGAAGGAGGCTGGAATTTTGACCATCCCTGCGCAAACAATTGCCGATTGTGATATTCATTCGTTTTTAGTGTCGTTTTCTGGGCTCTTTGGCTATCAACAACTTCAATTACAAACCAGTCTATCGCCAAACCATTCTCGGTATTGGGCTGATCGTGACTGAAGGCTGTCATCCTTGTGCCAAGTACTTCACCTCGTTGTTTTACGTTACCCGCCGTGGCAGCTTAACGTCTAAGCTGTCGGGCCTGAAATGTTTAGGACGTATAGTTTGGCCCCTTGGCCTTGGCGAGCTTATATATATATATATATATATATATATATATATATATATATATATATATATATATATATATATATATATATATATATATATATATATATATATATATACTTGTATTAGAGCGAATTGCTAGATCACCCATGTACTAGCATTTCAGAAGAGAGAGGAGGTTAACCTGAAAAATACTATCGGTTTGCTACCCTTCACTGGTGAAGACATGTAAAAAAACCTCAGATGGTCCAAATTAGTTCGAGCCTGCCCCTACAGCATCTGTCATGTTCATATCGTCGTCTTGATACGCAAGAACCCCGAAACTATTATGTTATCATTATTACTCGCTAAACGATACTAGACTTTACAGAAGCCGATTGGCATATACAGATGCAGAAACCTCATAATCAATGTCCTTACCTTGGGATTGTATGCTACTTATCGCGCTTCACTTACGTACGCACCTCAAGTTCATGTCTTCTATCCTTTTTGTCTTGGCGAAAATTCGGCGAAATATCCTATTTGCCCCAAATACCTGAGCAGCTGAATATCTAACATACCTCAGTGTACATTACCCCAGCCACATAGTGGCGCTGAAGTTCAACCTATACAGAACAGTTACTGGCATCCAGAATTTTTTTCTGGGGAGGGGGGGGGGGGGGGGGTAAAGGTACAAGGCTTTACTATACCTAATGCATTAATGCATATTCGTGCACGCATTTAAATATGTGCGTGTGTATGTACGCAATTTTTTTTCATTCGGAAGAAAAGAAGTAACACCGCCCCCCCCCCCTCACCCCTTGGCTATGCCCCGGGTCACTTGCAGTGAAAACATAGTTTAGAGACCACACGGGATACCCACAAGATGGAGAAGGCCAGCAGCACGAGGCATGTGTGCATCGCTAAAACACTGCCTGATGAAGCGGTCTTTGAAACCTGATGCCACGTCTGCGCGTGCTTCCCTTCTAATGGCTGCATAGCACGTAGGCGCGGTAGTATGACGTCAGCACACACGCCACAGAGATCAGCTGCGGCTTTATCCAGAGATCGCACTTGCGTAACGAAAGTCATGAATCGTAAAGCGGTCTCATCGGAAGAGCTGATATTTCATAATGAATCGGCTACCACTAAATACAACGTTATCGTAAGTGTGCTAAGACAACTGCCTGTTCACTGTGCTTGCAGGAATAAAATCAACGCACTGAAGTCACAAAACATCCCGCCCAGCGCTTTACATAACCGCAGTGGGTGTACTCCAACTACGAAGTCAGTTTGTCCGGAACAATGCTGCTTTTTTGCCCTTCACTGGGAATGCTGAGGCTAATGTTGATTCACTTTACATGTTTAACTTTTAATACAAACTCCGAGCGGTCTGTATTTGCTTTCAATGAAACGCCGAAAGCGAAAAATCCGCTTACGTCATACAGGGATTGTTCTTTTCTTTATTTCTCAGCTTTTGCACATAGCTTCTGTTGTTTTTTTTTCCTTCTTTCAGTGAATGCCTTTCATTACAAAAAACAACGTGACTAAGCAAGGGGTGTTAAAGCTACGCAGCATATTACGTATGGCAAAAAAAAAGAAAGAACAGGCTATTAAAGTAGCATATGACAGCACTTTATTTCGCGTGCTGCGCATGGAATGTGTTTGCGATCGCTGAATCCCGCCACACCGTTGCTATAGTTCGGAACAAGCGGCTGTAAGGCTCATATTCTACATCCTGGTGGGCTATAAAACAACGTGAACGTTCTGCGGGTTGCACAATTAGCTTGTGCTGTGTTTTCGCAGCATCCTACTTTATTCTTAAGGATAACCAACTCAGTCTGTGATTTTACATTTAGGATTATGTTGATCGAGAGCAAGTGTTATGTGACTTGGCACCTCTTTATCGACGATGAAAGTCTGTCTGCAATTCAAAGCCCTCCACTACGGCGTCTCTCATAATCATATGGTGGTTCTGGGACGTTAAACCCCACAAATCGAAATTGTCTGCAATTCATCCCCCCCCCCAAAAAAAACAAAAAAGAAAGGTGGCGCTTTTCGCCTTGAAATCTAGACTAAGGGGGCTGCCTCTCGCGAATCAAGTGCGTAGCAACAAAATATGTGTGCGCCATCACAAATGTCAGAAAGTGTTTGTGAGTTCATTCTAAAATAAAAAGCTCATCGAGATAGTGCACAAGATAAAATGTGGCCCGAATTTTTCGAAGATAGGTCTCAGCCTGATTTGTAGTATACAAATGTATTGATTGATTTGTGGGGTTTAACGTCCCAAAACCCCCATATGATTATGAGAGACGCCGTAGTGGAGGGCTCCGGAAATTTTCACCACCTGGGGTTCTTTAACGTGCACCCAAATCTGAGCACACGGGCCTCGACATTTCCGCCTCCATCGGAAATGCAGCCGCCGTAGCCGGAATTAGATTTCGCGACCTTCAAGTCAGCAGCCGAGTACCTTAGCCACTAGACCACCGCGGCGGGGCTGTGGTATACAAATGTAGATGTAACTTTATATTTACGTGCGCCGAACACAGCGTTATACGTATGTGCAGCAGTACGTTGAAAGCGGTGCAGACACAACAGTGCGGGTCATATTTATTTCACACGTGTGTGCGGATGAAAAAAAATTACATCCCACGAGAAGAGGAGGTGAAATATTTGAGCTGCACACGTAATAAGAAGTATTCAGATGTACATATTTAGAGTAGGGTTCTGAATGTACATGTTGTCCCCTTTTGGTATGAACACGGCGCACCATGGCGGCGTTCCGCGTGGCGCCAGCGCACGCGGTGCGGCCGCGCAACGAAGATAATCGGCGCAGACTCTACTAATGCGCTCGAGCGCCGTGCTTGCTTTGCTTTAAAGCCACCCAACTATCACTATGCCACTAGCGATTGAGCGTGCCGCAACGGCATTGTAGGAAAGCGTTCTTCGCTTACTGCATTCATGATGGCAAATTTCACTGCACGAGAACATAGATCAAAATGGGAGAGAGTACGAAAGAGCACTCTTTTTACTCTCTATTCTTTAGAGGCGAAGCTCTTTAAAACGGCACCCGTTCGTCCCTCGTAGTTGTGCGTTACATGTCTTACGCTTTGACCCACAAGGTGGTGTCGGTGGGAGATTTCTCCTGTGCGTTGTTGAACAATAAAAAATTCGCAGCGTGCGCGTTATCTAAAAGCCGAATTCTTCTGTCTCTCGTTTCCCATTAGCAGCCATTGGCATGTACTTTAAGCACTATCTGACAAGAAAGGGTTGCTACGTTATACTCCCTGGGCGTAACCTCCTTGGTTTTAGAAAGGTTTAGTGAGCGTTGGGCCAAAGTGCCATGAATACAGTGAACTAGTATATACCATGAACTCGAGGTGGTTAAAGGTGGGAAGTAGACACGAAGCGCAAGCCGTAAGAAAGTGTGCGTGTGCCACCTCTCGCTTAGTCCTTGGAGTGTGCGCTGGATGGTGGTCCTTCTATATGCGGAATATATGATGAAAAGATGCGACATGGTAGTACTTGGACTGTTGACTAGATGGATGAACGGACACACAGACAGATGCATGGACGGACGCACGGATGGCTGCACGGACGAAGGGACGCATGGACGGACGCAGGGGCAGATGCTTGGATGAACGCAGGGATGGACGCGCCGATGGATGTGTGGACGCACGAACAGACGCACGCACGGGCGGGCGGATCTGTCAGTCAGTCAGTCAAAGAACTTTATTTGGTCCTGAGAAGACGAGAATGCCCCCGTCAGGGGGTACCATCTGGGGGCCCCGCCCACAGCGGGCGGATGGACGCTGTTAAGTTTGGCCCGGCAATTCGTCTGGGCTGACGCCATTGTGCGTAAGCCGGTCTACTGGGGAGGCTCTCAATCCCTTCGGCGCCCAGTCTTCCGGACGCTGTCGAAGATTTCGACAATTAACCAGACCATGCGGCATGCAAAGGCGAGTTCCTGACTTTCAAATGCGGACCCTTTCGTCGTCTCTTCGAGCAGCAGCGGTGACTGATGCCCTCGCCGACTCATCTGGCGAGGGGGAAGCTGTTGTGAGCGGCGCCCGAGCTGACGGGGGAGCGGCGCTCTTTTAATACCCAATCAAGTAGCTGACCGGCCGGCTGCCTATGCTCTTCTGGCATTGTCCGTGCTAGCCGCAGGATGAAACGTCGTGTCGCCACGACACCGTAAACCGTTCCAGAGAGGACAACAAATACAGCATCTTCCTTAGAAGAAACCGTGGTGGCCGCCGCAAATCGCCCCGCTAATTGAACGAACAGAACGATGGACCTTTGATGTATGCTGTCAGGAGCTTGGAACCTCTCGACTAGTGGCACACACACGACGAGGAAGAGCGCCGCTGGCGCCACCTTGCAGTGCAGTGTTCATGACTCAATATAGGGCGTTCACGTGGACCGTGCATGCTCGTCCCCCTCTCCTGTTGTGTGTGTGTGATTGGTGTTCCACTCGGAGAGGAGGAGCCCGACAGGACTTAAAACGACGCCGCAGAGTGCTGGACGTCGCTCTGAACCATGTAACGGTTCAGCCACCATGCTCGTGGTTTGTGAAACCACTAACCTTTCTTTGCTGTAAATAAGTGTAAATAGTGTCATAAACCTGTTTGTTTTCGTATCCTCTTCTTGTCAGCGTTCGTTTCCTCCACCCGGTTACACCACGCTACCATAAGAGACCGGGAAGTCCCCCATCCCCAACAACTGGTGAAGTGGTGGGACATCATCAGCGAAATTCTTCTTCCGACCCATTACAACTGG